TTTATTCTAGCTCATCTTGATAATTAATAGGCCTTGAGACATATAGAATACCTGAAGTAGATAAAGGTGAGTTGAAATGGGTTACAATATTGGGTTAGTTTTGATTGTTCCGATACATTTCAATAAATATTGATCAAATTTGGTTATGTATTCTTTTACAAAAGAATATTGGTAGTGCGGGTTCTGGAGTTAATGAATTTGTTTGGCTCTATTTGTCTTTCAAATTTCGACAAGTCAATATTTACCCCAAAGTCATTACATATCCTCTAATATTCAATACACAATGAATTGGACATTATACTTATACAGCTTGAAGAACTTGAAATAATTGCAGTGCTTCCCTAATATTTCAATGCATAATATAATATGAAGGTTATTGTGTTTGGATGTGGAGTAATCCTACTTGAAATCCTCTGCCGTGAAAAAATGACTCTTAGGAGCTCTTTGTGAAATAATTGCATCTTGTTTATAAATTTTTGGTGTATTCATAGTTCCAACATGTCTAAGGCGAATGAAAGGGGTATGTCTGCTATGTGGGATGAGGAAGTTACAAAATTTTTTTGCGATCTCTGTATTAAACAAATAGAATTATAAAATAGGTCAACCACATATTTTAACAAGGTTGGCAAATATTGCGAAGAATTTCAAAGAATTGACTGGCAGGGATCACGACAAGCTAAAATTCAAAAACAAATTGGATCAATTGAAGAAGGAATGAAAATTTTGGAATGAGCTAAAACGTGGATCTACCGGTTTGGGTTGGGATCCCATTAAACGGACAATCGATGCTCCAGATGAATGGTGGGTTGAGAAATTATAGGTAACTTTTACACATTCAATTTTTTATTTCTCATAATGTTTTGGTTTAACAACTAATCCCTCTAAATACAATGTTACAGGCATTGTCGTCAGCAAAGAAATATAAGCAGCATGAAATTGAGCCGGACTTTGAAAAAAAACTTGACATAATTTTTAAGGGGGTTGTCACGACGGGAAAGATGCATTCAACCCTAGTGAGATAGGGTTTGCAGGCATACCAGATGACTTCCCCCTTGAGCGGTTGACAGCTGATGAAAATGTGTGGTATTAACCAAAGGGAGATAAGGGAATCAAGTTCACCTTCAAAGAGGCCCAGGCTTGGTAGGACAAAGAATGAAAAGGACAATTTTGTGTAAACCTCATTCGATATACTCATTGATGTTTTTGGAGCTCCACCACCTACTCCACTCCCTGACAGCACCATCTTAGAATGTACTGGAGTTTTGGCCCATATTCCTGAAGTAGTTGCCGACATGCGATTTCATACAAAGTGTGTGAAAAAATTTGAGGATCCTACCCGTGGGCAAATATTCATGGCGGTGCAGCCAGAATTGTGCATAGAATATTTGCATGTTTTGGTGGATGAATGATTTTATTTTTTATGTGTTGTTATTTGTAGCTTTTGTTGCGTTATGAACTTATAAATGGGTCATTTTAATATATTGATCTTTGTACTCATATTTTTTTAAAGTACTTCTAAATGCTTCATGTTTTTTTATAAGTTGATCTTTGTACATTTTTATTCGATGTGTAATTTGTAGGCCTTGATGTTTTCATTACTTATTTTTGCTCCTTCTATGTCTTAATAATTTCTTTAACACTTACATTTTTCTTCCTATAGGATGGATCGGCAACAGAAATGTTGTAAAAGAATGGCATGGGCTGCAGCTATAGAGATACTGCTGTTGGAGCATTACCGATCCAGCAGTGTTCGCATACCCCGCATGACATCCAACTTTGTTAGGATAAATGGGTAGGTGATATGTTTTCTGGACATCCAATAATGTCCGGTAACATATTTAGAATGACTGCATCTATTTTTATGTATCTCTTTCATCTGAAACACGGCCTCCAAGGTTCTTTTAGAACGACGAATAAGAAGGTGTTGGCTATAACACTGTACATTCTGTCACAGAACGAATCAATTAAAAGAGCTATTGAGAAATTTCAGCATTCATCGAAAACAATTAGTCGTTACTTTTTCAAAGGCGTACAGACACTTGTTAGCTTAGCAAATCAAATCATTAAGTCAGAGCATCCATCATTTGTTAGTACTCCAGAACAAATTGTCAACGATCTTCGTTATATGTCTTATTTCAAGGTAACTATTGGTTTGTTCACGTTATTTTCAGAATATAATTAGTTCATAACGGTGTAAAACAAAACTGCATAGGTGCAATAGACAGTACCCACGTTGATGTACGACTACCTAGCCACAATAAAGTGGCGTACATTGGTCGGAGTGGTTCAACAACTCAAAATATCATGGTCGTATGTGACTTCAACATGTGTTTCACTTTTGTGATAGCGAACTGGGAAGGGAGTGCACATGACAGTTTTATTTTCTCATATGTAAATAGGAATATATCACAGTGTTTCCTTCACCCGCCTTTAGGTTTGTTTTGTAAACGTACTAGCTATATATATTATTTGTCATTAAAAAAAACTTTCGTAATAGGAAAATATTATTTAGTTGATGCTAGATATCATATGTAGAAGTGCTACCTGAAGCCCTGTCCGGACACCAGATACCAAATTCCTGATTTTGAGAGAGCAAGTGACACCATCCATGGTAGAAAAGAAATATTTAATAAAAGTCACTCATCTTTACGCGGTGTAATTAAAAGAACATTTGGAATTTAGAAGAAGAAATAGGTTATCTTACGTGATATGTCGTCATATCCATTTCAAAAACAGGTGCATATTGTGGTGGCCACAATGACACTTCATAACTTCATCTGGCGACATCCCTCTCAATCAGATACAGACTTCAGTATGGCTAACAATGATGAACTGAATGTCTCCGAAGAACCTACAAGAATTGTGGTTGGGCATTCCTTACCTGAGGATGAGATGGACTCTAATGAATTTGAAATTCATGACGTCACTCATCTTTGCATGCTTCACAAGTGAACAACTACTTTCGAGGGAAAAGCTCGTGTACTGACATAAACCCTGATTCTTCCTTTGAGTAATTTTTATCAACGTTTAATTTGTTTAATTATGAATTTTGCACATACACGTAGAATTTTTTCAAGTGTTAAACATAGAATTTTTTCAAGTGTGACACGCATCAGACTTCATTTTGGAAGAATAAACTTAATAATATTAAAATTTTATCTTCATTCAATACTTATGAAGTTTCAAATTTTGGAAACTGCTAAATTATCTTTGGTATAAAAAGATGAAGTCATTACATCAAAGCACCTAATTTTTGCTAACATTGAACGTTGAAAATGTAAAAAAGATGTTTTGAGTTTTCAATGCACCTCTCCGTAGGTTTCATTAGTGACACTAGATCCTTAATTTTCCTACATCAAAGATGCTACTCCAGAAGTTGAAAGATAGAGTGCATGATGGTGAAGTAGTAAGGTTTGGAGATGAATATCTGCCAAAAACCTTAAAAAAACAGCAGTTTATGCGGATAGAAGTTTATATAAATGCTTTGACATGCGAATTTGCCTATCATACAACCATCCTATTTGAAAAATCATGATAAGATTGGAAGACATGAATTTAATGATGATAAATTAAAACAATCAGCACATACCAAAGGCAGTGGTGGCATGAAAGAACCAACATGATTTAGTAAAATAAAGTAATAATAAGATAGACAATCACAATTTATGCCTAAGGAATATCACTAGATGGGATCTCAAAATGAAATTAGTCAAATCAACATCAGATAGTATTGGATTGTGCTCATCAGACTCAGACATCAAATAAAGAGCAAAATTTCTCCAAGAAATCATCGAACTTGACATCTTCCTCATCAAAGAGAGATTCACGTCCTTCAAAATATTCAAATGTAAATCTTGAGGAACTTGGGGCTTAAGCACCAAATGAAGTAGGGTACCTTTGGACGTTGGAGTAACTAGAAGGTAGCATTCTTTGGCGGTAAAAATATGTGAAAGCATGAGAAGATGTAGAGTATATAACCTTTATCCAATTGATGAACAGATAATAAAATGGTGCAATGATGAAGAGAAATAATATCATGAATAATAGGGATAAAAATATGTACCATTAAAACTTTCTTCTTTTCATGAAACAGATCATGGAGAACTTGAATCTTCTTTGGCACTCTCTTAGGAACTTCAATACTGATCTCTAAGGATTGTTATTTGCTCTAACACCAAATAATGGATATTAACAATAGGTTTTTATCGTGTTTTTCTTAATCTTAACTTGGAGTGGTAGAGAAAGTTTAAGAGAAGGGAGAGACAAGAAGGTGAAAGAGGAGAACGGGTATGAGAGAAGGGCATGGAAGAAGGTAGGTGACCAAGATGATGGGATGAGGGAAGTGAGCAGTGGGCAACCATAATAATTATTTCATTAGGTGCAATATGACATGATATAAATATTAATCTCAGAATGTAAAAGAGAGAACATAACATAAGTCAAACATTGATAAATCATATTGATGACAGCAATGGCTAAAGACACCAATAAAACATAAAAATTAACTAAAACATAAAGTAGACATGAATTATGTTGCCCTCCAATGACTTTAAACAAGAAAGGATTGCAATGATCATGCATCGCACAGCTTCATGACAAAGGAAATGCACTTCTAGAGATGCTTGTAATTCTATATGAGAGCTACAATGACTTTACAACCAAAAAAATATAACAAAATAAAATCACAGCATATCCAAATGAAATATGAGATAACAAAAAATTATGCCAAACATAGAAACAGTTGGTTTTTGTATGAAAGGATCTGAAAACATGCTATAATATAGCTAGAATCTAAAAAGATGATTTCCTAAATACAGTATATAGTAATAAAATAGGAAAGAAAACTTTTTCCAAACAAACATTCCACAACCATTGAGGAAACTAAATTACTACATGGCTTTAATGCATATACTATAATAGAACTAGCATATACCCATGTATTCACTGAAAGAGGTCAAATAATAAAAAAAAGCTAGATAATGCAATGTAAGATCAGTCACCAGTCCTTGCATGCCTCGCACTGCACCATAAGGTTATCTGGATTGTACGGCATCTCGCACTTGCAATACCTTAATAAAAAAATTTAAGAAAAAAAAAGAGAGAAAATTAGAGCCAGCCCCCAACATTTTCGCACCCCACAAAAAACAGACGGACGCCCGAAAAAATAGAAAACAATCGGACGAGAGAGTACACAGCGACACGATCCGGAGTGAATCCACCGGTGGCAGCCTTGTATTCAAAACGGCAGAAATAGTCATCGGCCCCTACATTCTCGAGCTTGGTGTAGTTCTTGAAGGAGTGGACGACGCACTTTCCCTCAATGGTGTGTGCGCTCTGCACGTCGTAGTGGTCGGAAAGAAAGAGCTCCTTTGCCCCATGGAACTGCCGCCTACCGCCTATGGATTCCTCCGGCCGGTAGTACCAACGAACCCTAACCTTCACGTTGTTACGATGGTCCGCCTCGATCTTCTCCACGCGCGCAACATACGAAGGCTTGTCGGTGTCCGACGGTCGCATCAGCACGCAGTCCCCAGCTGCACAAATATCGTCACCCCATCAAGAAAAAAACTAATCCACAAACTAATGAGCGACAAAAAATGTAATGAAGAATGGGTGAAAGGGGAAGAACAGTAGATACGTACAGCGCACGACCTTGTTGGTGCCCTTGATGGTGTAGGAGTCCACGTCCTTCTTCCCAGGTTTCGTCTTTGCCATCGATAGCTCGGCAGACGAGCTTCTCCTTCTCCAGCGGACTTAGTTCCAACTCAGGATCTCACTCTATCTCCACTGTCTCTCCCACGCTATCTTCGCCAGCCAGCGCCGCGTTCGATTTTGTGGCACGTTTTTCTTCGCCGATTTGGCGGGGTTAGACTGAAATTGATCCGGGCGAGGAAGTTGGTCGAGGAGGACTAGCCAGAAGCGGAGTGGACGGGGTGGAAATGGAAGCACCGGGCGCCAACCCTAATTAGGTGCTCAAGCGCAAATGCTGCGGATGACGGTGATGCTGTTGCTCGGTTCCAACAGGGAACGAGCAAAAGCTGCATTAGCTGCCCCCAAAAATAAAAAATAAAATTTGATATAATAGTTAGATTATATATTATTAGATATATTTAAAATTGTTCATTTATCTATGACTTGATGGTTGATGCATACTAGAAAATTCACGACAGTAAAGTAGCAGAATATTATTTTAATGTGGTACAAAGATTCAGCACGCACTCAAAAAAAAGAAAGCAAACAATAATGACACCAGGTTTTGTTGCGTGGAATACTCGGAAGAATAAAAATCATGGGATCTGACTCAGCTGAAAAGTTTCATTATAAAAAAAAATAATTATAGTTTAATTGATTGATCTGAGCTTGATTTGACTCTGATTTGATTAACTTTGGTACCATTGAGTTCGTCTCCTCGAGTCAATTAGTTTGATTATAAGTTTGCTAAAATCGATGTTCTGGATGATTTTTATCGAAGTTTAAACATTTCTTACTTAGAATATTGTCTTGAGAATTGTGTCATGCCTTGAGATTTGTATTGGATGTTTGAACTTTGTTGATGGTGTATTAGTTGTCCTCATATTTTCGGGCAAAATTAACTTTGTCGTCCGAAAATATTAAGATCTGAAACATTTTTTATTATTAAATATTGATTTATATATGAGAAGGGCGGTCAATCTTTATATATATATATAGAGACTCTTGTTCAATTCCCTCCCTTGCTCCTTAGAAATAAATAATTTTTAAATTGTTGTTTAAACAATTTCTTTTATTTATTGAATAGTGACATTTACATTCATACCACTTAATTTTAGGGAAGGCAGAATGGTGGAATGCGGATCTGCGCAAATTCCGAACGCGAAGCAAATTTTAAGTTATTTTTTCGTGTATATATATATATATATATATATATATATATAAAGCTAGTTCAGGCAATAATTTATTATATTTAATTTGTATTAATTAGAGAAGAAAATATGAGAGAATTTTTCTTCTTAAGGAATATATATTAAAAGTTGGATCGAAAAATAATTTAAGTATATTTAAAATAGGTTAAATATATTTAACTTAAAATAGTCAAAGAAGAGAATATAAAGAATTCTTTAGTGTAATACCTGAAACAATTTTTATTTTTAATTTTTAAGTTTGGAATGAGAAATATGGAAGGTCAAAAGTTGGAAGATGAAATTACGAGCATTAATGCAAATTTCAGTTTTTTATTGTTATTTTTAATTATTATTTCAATGTTTGGTCTCCTTTTAAGCCTATAATAGAAACCGTGGATGAGGGCAAGAATCATAAGTGAGAAGAATGAGAAGGAGAAAAAGGTGGAAGAGTGTATTCTTTTGTTAGAGAGATTTTCCAAAAGAAGAAAATCGTCCTTATCATGCATAGCAAGGGAGCAATGGGATCTTCTTTCATGTTGCGACTAAGAACAAAGTCGTCCTCGTCTTGCATTGCAGACAAGTAACGAGATCTTCTTTCACATTGTGGCAAAGAGAAAAGTTATCCTCATCATATGTAGTAGGCGAGCAATGAGATTTTCTTTCGTGTTTCAGCAAAGAGGAAAGTTGTCACTGTCTTGCGTAGCAGACGAGCAACAAGATCTTCTTTTATGTTGCAACAAAGAAAAATGTTGTCAACGTCCTACATAGCAGGACAACAACAAGATCTTCTTTCATATTACGACCAAGAGGAAAGTTGTCCCCATTTTGCGTAGCAGGCGAGCAACAGAATATTCTTTCACTTTGTAGAAATGACGACAATTGGAAAACCTCGTCCTACTGAGAACAAGAGAAAGGTCAGAAGTTGAAAGATGCGGCTTGAATTCTGACGGAGTGTGACTTGATTTTATTTTAAAAGAAGTACTACTTCCCGAAAGACATGGTGGTGAAATTACTGACTTCGACCAACCGAGCATACTCCTCCTTCTGGGTATATTGTTGTTAATGAGGCAGCCTTGAGATCTAGTTTACAATTTCATTCCACACTAAACTTTATTAAAATCATGAAAGCATTCAGAGTTTGTGTTGCTTAACTATATTGCCACGTGGTGACAGTCATTATCGGGTTGACTGTTTTCTACGAGTTGATGTTAAAACCGACAATTTTAGCATAGTTGTGTAGGTTTTTTAGTTACACGCATGTTCGTGTGATGTTTAAGCACAATGCGTTGGATTTTTTTCCTAAATGAACGGATAAGAATGGTTTGTGAGATTCTTCTTTGAGAAGAATGGTTCGGGGCTCCATGAGAAGCGAGAAAGGTTCTGACAATTGTTTGTTTCTCTTAAGATAATTGAGGAAGAAATAGTGCACATATTAGGATTTCATGACTTTAAGGAAATGCTATTCGAGACATAATATATTCATTAATTTATGGGTGAGGAAACGTTGTTCAAGGCCAACCTTTATTTCGCTTCGAGTTATCAATGGTTGTAACATTGAAGAAATCTAAGAAAAGACCTTCTGAATCAATTCTCATGGTATCCTCAAAGCGGCCCCCAACGAATAGTGACTGTGAATTACTTCCTCAGAAACAACATAAGGGGGTTAAAGAATCATGGAAGTCCTTATCTAATCCTTCTAATATTCATACTCCCGAGAATGTGTTGTCTCATGAATGTACTAGACTCTTGGAGGTTGAGGGCTTTGTAAGTTTCTTTTATTATTTGCTATTATATAATAATATTATTTATTTGACCCAAACTTCTCTTCTTTCAGATAAATAAAATGGTGAAAATTTATATGAGGTTAGAGCTGGCTTTGAGAAATTGAAACTCTTAATTTGTTAAGATCAAATACCTCCAAGGAGAGTACAAGCGTAGATATGAATATGAGGTTGAAGGAGTCACAAATCTGGAATCATAGTTGACAAAGTGTAGGATACAACTCTCAACAATAATGACTTTCTTCTTATTGCAACTTTAGGATCTGGAGAAAACTCTAGAGGCATTGATGGAGGCACGATCAATCTCAATGAAGTAATAGAAGTGTGTTTCACGCCCTTAATTTGATAGTGTTAGCCCAGGAGGAAGAAATCTGATTTTTTAGGTCTGTGAAGGATGTTGATGTTGCAGAGGTTAAGTAAAAAGTGGTTAAGGTCTTCAAGAACTTGCTTGAGTTCAAGGCTATCATTTGATACCATGTTTAGGAGGCTTGTGATCGAGTACTTGACGTTTAGGCAAAGAAGTAGTAAAAGTGGTTCACCGAGGAAGGATTCATTTGGGGTTTTCTGAAGAGGAGTCGAGCAGTGCAACGTCAAACTGGGATTGTCATGGAGGGGCTCACTACCAACCAATCTTCAAAGGATCCTCCCTCAGATTCTTATGGTGATGACATCGAAATTGAATTGAAGAAAGTTTTCTCTAATGATAATAAGGGGACGGAGGAGAACACTAACGTCGATTAGTGCTCTAGTCTTCCTTATATGCTTTTAGCATATTTACTTTGCCATGTTGTATAAATCATATTAGACATCTTAAAATTACTGATTTTATATACACATTTCATGCTTATTTTTTTATGATATTGCACTTTAATGAAATGTATTTTGCATGTTTTTGGTTTAAGGTACATAAAATGGAGTTTATAGGAAAATGTGTGAAAATGATGCAAAATGAAGTCATGAAGCAGTGTCGCATAAACTCCACTTTTGGCTCCTAAGCGCTAGAGTACAAACAAGATTGGCGCCTAGGTGCCACAGTTTGATAAGCACCAGAAATGGTTACCACTTTTATTCATTGAATTTGAATGAATTTTGAAGAGGTGTTTGAAACAACCCTTGGTGATTTTCATAGCTTTATATATAGGGATGAATTCCAAACAAAAATAGTGTGTGTGGAGTCATTTTATAGCAAGTTAGACCCCCATTTGAGTGGGTGACCACCATAGTGAGAAAGTAGTGAGTCTTTGTGATTGCTGAAGTTTTGTGAGTCTTGTAAGAGTCTATTGGAGTTAAGGAAGTTAGGGAACTTTAGAGGATTGCTTGGGTAAGAGTTTGAGATAAGTATTTGTACTTTTGTTTAAGTTTTATTTTGTGAACTTGAGTTTTAATTTAAATCATGTTTTGTTTAATTATCCTCAGGAATTCTAAGTAGTTTTCTTATCCTTCTGCTTGCAATAATAAGTAATTATGTGGAAGATTTAATTTGTTTAGAACTTCTTTTATTCCTAAAATTAAGATGGTATTTTCACCGTTTCTTCATTTACTTTACAAGTTGGCCACTTGTAATGTTCAAATCTGTTGCGAAACATAATTACCCGAGAGGGCTATGATTTCACCCAACTAGTGAGTACGTCACTAACCTCACGAGGAGGGTGACCAAAATCCAAGGAGAGTGCAAATAGATTGGGAGATAAGTTTTGATGAGCGAAGAATTGGTGTTTGTAAGGAGACATGCTGATCCTTCACCAATTTAGTCTAAAGTTTGAACCTGAGTCCCCGGTAGGCCCTTTTAAAGAGGGCACAGTGGGTAATCTAGAAGTAAAATACTAGAATTTACTCAACCTACCATACAATCAGGAATTTGCTTTAGATTAACTAATGTTCTTCATGCACTTGAGAGAAGGTAAATAATAGGTATGCTCTTATTTGTCATAGCACATCATTTAAACCTTTAAACCTTTTGATTCCTACACAGATTATGAACTCATTACAAGGGAAAAATTCTTTTTAAAATTATAACTCTCTTTTACATTTAGCATAGTTTAGAATTTCAATATTTACATTTAGTTTTAAACAAAACTTGAAGGAATTTTGTAGCTTTACTTTACACTTAAATTTGCTATTATATTTTCTATATTAATTTCTACAGTTTTAAGTAAAAGTTTCACTAAAATTCCACACAAAGAATTATCGCTTCCCTGTGGGATCGATACTAGGGTTTTTATAGAAAACATTATATTACATGAAACGATATGTATATTTGTGTAGTATCCATAGTTTGAAATCTATTATTCTAAAATTTATAACATTTAATTTCTTCACACTAGCTGTTAAATACAAATTGGGTCAAGTTTTTTGTTATCTTTTGGAATAAAAAAATCAGTGTAATT